AGAGTGGGGACTGGGGCAGCTGAGGGGTTACGGGGTAGCTCTTTTTTCAGGGTGCCCTCTGTGATCTCTGATATGGCTTTGTTTGGGTTTACTCTGGTGGCTTCAGAGCAGCTCAGGGTTCTGGGGCAGAAAGGAGGCAGAACATTGCTTTTGATACCCCAACTTCAGAAGTCACACACTACCCCTTCTGCCGTGCTATATTGGTGGACCCAGTTATGGAAGCCTTCCAAGATCCAAGGGTAAAGGAATTAGGGATCACCTCTTGATGGGAGATGACAAGGCTCTAGAAAAACATGTGCCAGAGGAGATATTGTTGCAGCCATCCTTGGAAAATATAATCTGCTACCCTTTTCTCATCCTTTCTTCTCCTTCTCCTTCTTTTTGAGACAGGCTCAGGCTGCCCCAGGCTGGCTCTGTACTTTTGGGCTCAAGTCATCCTTCTGCCTCAGTTTCCCAGGTAGCTGGGACCACAGGCATATGTCACTGGGTCTGACTCAATTCTTCATATTTCTTTTAAGAGTCAGTTTTATCCTTAGCACTAATTCTCTAATTTTCTCATCTCTTATCTCTTATTATCTTTTTGTTCTACTTTGTAGGAGATTTCATTGACTTTATTGGGCAATCCTACTACCATGCTGACTCTTAAATTTTGGTATCATTTAAAATTTGTTCTCAGCTCCTCTTTATTTATTTATTTTTTAAACATTGCACTATGCTTCTGTTTCATGGATGCCCTGTCTTGTATTATCTCTCTGAGGCTATTAATTATAATTCTTTTGAATTGTTCTGCTTTTGACAGTTGCCTCTTTTCTGCATAAGTTCTTTTCCCAACTTGCTAATTCTTTTTTGCCTCTTCTTGGGCATTTCTGATTAGAAGTGCCCAGGGTGGGCTTGCTCAAGAGGCCAGCCAGCCACTTTGATTGGAATTTCCAAATGTCAATATTGGCCTGTTATGGTTTGGATGCGAGGTGTCCCCCAAAAGCTCACGTGTGAGACAATGCAAGAAGGTGATTGGATGGTGATTTAATCCCCTCCTAGGGAATAACTGAGTGGTAATTGAAGTGGGGGGTGTGGCTGGAGGAGGTGGGAATTGGGGCATGGCTTTGGGTATATACTTGTTTCTGGCCAGTAGAGTCTCTCTCTCTCTCTGTCTCTCTCTTTCTCCTTCCTGGTCACCATGTGAGTCACTTCCTTCTGTCCCACTCTTCCTCCATGATGTCCTGTCTCACTTTGAGCCCTGAGGAATAGAGTCTGATGTCTATGAATTGAAACCTCTGAAACCCACATTGAAGGGCCCTTGCTGCTTGAATGCTGTGCAGCTGCTGCTACCATCTTGCAATTCCTACTTATTTTTGAACACAGGTCCCACGTTTCCATTTTGCTCCAGGCCCTGCAAACTGTGTAGCTATTCCTGTCCACCGTTGATCTCCACAATTCACCTTCCACATGCTCTCAGTGATTATTTGGAATTAGGAACCTAATCATGTTGTATTCTTGTTCAAAAGACCTCAGTGGCCCCCGTAATCATCAGGAGGAAGTTCACGCTCCCTGGTGTTGTATCCAAGTCACTGCGAGTGCCCAGATGGACCTATTAGGGCCTAAAAGACAGACTCTCATCACCTCCTTATAATCCAAAGAACCCTCCTTAAGACAAGCTGGATTCGCCCCTTCCTTTCCAAATTTCTTTGTGCTTAAAATACAACCAAGTCTTCCCTCAGGCTCTCCAGGCCCCCTGGGCTCTGAGTTGTGCTCCACACTCTGACCTCATCAGGCCCACCGCTCACCTATGTGGCCCAGGGCTTCCCTGGTATCCCTTCCTGTTCTGTTTGGCAAGATACACTCTTTCCCTGAATGCAGGTCTCATCTCACATGTCATCTTCTCAGAGGGGCTTAGTGGACAACTACATCTAAACTCCCATCATTATCCCCTTGCCCAGTTTATTTTCTGCCATATCATTGATCACATTGACGTGCTCTTTGCTTGCTTGTTAATGATCCGTCTTTCCCATGGAGGCTCCACCTTCCCTTGTTCACGGGCTTGTCCCCAGCACACCCTCTCTCACTATTTGTCAAATAACAGTGTTGGGATCTTTCTGTATGAACACATTTCAAGAGATACTCAGTAATCCTCATCACTAGAAAGGATGTCCAAGGCAGCAGAATCTCAACACAAGTGTGTTTGGATCAGAAAAGGTACAGGGTGAGTACCCAAGGGTACAAGGAAAGAATGGGGACACATTATGGAGACATTTTATTCCCAAGAGGCTGTTTTAGAGGCCCCCTTCTCTGTGACTCAAGAAGAAAGTCCCAGGCATAGATTGTATGTTGTTCACCTGTCTATTTTCCTACCAGGTTAGGAGCACATGCAGGTTAGAACCTAGTTCCTACTCAACCTCATTTACCTAGGGTCAAGGAGGACTTTGGCATACAGGAGGTGCTCAATAAATGTGAATTGATAATAAATGATTATTAAGAATTCTCTCAGGGCCAGAACTGAATGGCAGGACTCTTAGTGAACCCCCTCCCTGTGACAGAAGAAGCTCAGATCCTGTGATTATAAATCCACAGAGCAGTTTTGGTGGGGACAGTACTATGAGAAAAATGGCAGAAGATGAGGTCAGTGGCTTCTATTGGTGGCGGTTGTTGGTGACTTGGATGGAAGTGATGAGAGGTGGATGGGTTTTGGGTCGTTTGAAAGCAGAGCCACCGTGACCTGCTGATGAATTGCACTGGGGGATATAGAGAAGGAGAGGAGCCAAGATACCTTGGGAGTTTGGGGCTGAGCACCTTGCTTCAAAGTGGTACCATTTTTGCAGGAAGGGAACAACCATGGGTGCAGAATAAGGGTACATTCATAGACAGTAGGTCTGAGTCACGTGACTCAGATGGGTAGAAAGCAGGACTAGGGAGGCAGAAGAGCAGCAGCCAAGTCTGCTCTGGAGGCGTGCACTGGAGAGTTGGTAATTTTGAAACCACGAATCATTGGTTTCAACACTGAACATCATTGCACTTGGTCAAATAGTGTCTCCTCCAAAGTTCGTGTCCACCAGGAACCTATAAATGTGATCATATTTGGAAACAGGATTTTTTAACAGATATAATCAAGTGAACAGGAGGTCGTATTGAATTGGGAAGTGCCCTAATCCAATGATGGATGTCCTCATTAGGAGAAAGAAATTTGGACATAAACACACACAGAGGGAAGATGGCCAAGGACATCCAGGGGCAGAAGGTGGAATTATTCTGCCACAAACCAAAGAACAGCCAGGGTCCTCTGCAATCACCAGCAGCTGGAAGAAGAAGGAAGGATTCTTGCCCAGAGCACTTGGAGGGAGCCTTGTGACTTGACTTCTGACTTGTGGCCTCCAGAATTTCTCAGAGGGAATCAATTTCTCTTGTCTTCAGCTCGTGCTACTTCCCTGTGGTGGGTCTGGGTCTAGTCTATTGTCAAGGACGACAAGTAGAAAGTGAACAGAGGAGCCGAGAGGATGAGCCTTTGAGACACCATTCCTTAGAGGTCAGGAACAGGAGGAAGATCCTTCCCGAGAGATGGAGATAGCACAGGCAAGGGGCAGGAAGGAAGCAGGAGAGGACATGTTCTAGACCCAAGGGGAGCCAAGGACTTCAAGGACAAAGAAAGCCTATGTTCCAGGAAGTGGGTCACAGTGAGGACAGAGAACTGGTCCTTGGACGTGGCCATGTGGAGGTGACTGATGACTTTGATCAGCCAAGTTTCAGTGGAATGACTGGCATGAATGGAAGAATGAGAGGTGAGGAAATGCAGAGAGTAAGCAAGCAAAAATTACCACTTGCCTTCATTTTATAGTCGGCAATAAGCAAATACAAGTGTTCTCTCTCTCTCTCTGTCTCTCCCTCTCTCTCTCTCATACCGGGGATTGAACCCAGGGGCACTCAACCACTGAACCACATCCCCAGCCCTTTTTTATTTAGAGACAGGGTCTCACTGAGTTGCTTAAGGTCTCCCTAGGTTTCTGAAGCTGGCTTTGAATTTGTGTCCTCCTGCCTCAGCCTCCCTAGCCGCTGGGATTACAGGTGTGTGCCACCGTGCCCAGCTTACGACTTTTCTTTTACAGCAACCCTGTGAGACAGGTAGCATTATTTACAGAAAGGGAAACCAAGTCTCAGAGGTATTAAAGGATTTGTTTAAGTTCCACTATAGATAGGAAGTGTCCAGGTCTTCAGAAATAACAGTCCACTCTTTTCTCCCCATGTATCCAAGTGGCAGCTGATTTGATGGCTGAAGAGGGTTGGGAACAAACTGGTTCTTGCTTGGACCTAAATCATCCAGGGCCTTCCCAGGAAACAGCTGCATTTAAAGAAGTCTTTCATTGACCCTTCCCTTGGCCGTCTCCAGCGGCAGTGGACAGAGGCCCATCCTTCCTCATCCCTCTTGGAGGTGAGGGGACCACAGGATTGAGGAATGTCATCCCAGGGGCTGGCTAATCTGCTTCCTCCTCTTCACCCTATATCCTTACGTAGGGGTTGAAAGCTACCCACTGGGGCTGGGAAGGGAATTTACACAGTAAAGTGGGCTTGGGTCAGGCGATGGGAAACAAGTCTGTGGGTGACCTGAGTGCAAAAATCCCACCTGAAGATGTTCAAATTCCAATTTGAAAAACTGTATGTCACACCAAATGCTGGTGAAAATGGATTTACAAAACGGATCAGCCACTTAGGAAGAGTCCTGCCGTGTCTTATACAACCAGACATGTTGTGCGGTAAGATCCAGCAATCACACTCCTTGGTGTTTATCCAGAAGAACTGAAAACTTCTGTCCACACAAAAACCTGCACATGGGTGTTGATAGCAGCTTTTATTTATAACTACCCAAACTTGGAAGCAACCGAGATGCCCCTCAGCAGGTGAATGGATAAACAAACAGTACCACATCCAGACAAGGGGATATTATTAACTTCTAAAAATAAATGAGCTATGAAGTCACAAAAAGCATGGAGGAAACTGAAATGCACATTTCTAAGTTAAAGATGCCCATCTGAGAAGGCCACGTACTGCACGGTTCCCACTACCCCGATGTTCTGGAAAACATCAAAGACAAAAAGATCAGGGGTGCCAGAGGGTAAGGGGAGGGAGGGATGAGTAGAGCACGGAGGGTTTTTAGGGCAGAGAAACTACTTTGCATGATCCTGTCAGGGTGGATACATGTCAAATCTATAGGATGTACAATATCAAGAGGGGATCCAAAGTGGGTATGGTAGCACCCTCCTGTAATCCTAGTGACCTGGGGGGCTGAGGCAGGAAGATCACAAGTTGGAGGCCAGCCTGGGCAACTTAGTGAGACCCTGTCTCAAAATTAAAAAAATAAAAAGGACAGGGGATGTAGCTCCATGGTAGAGAACCCTGGGTTAAACAGTCAGTTTAAAAAAAAAATGAATCTTAATCCAAAAAGTGAACTTTGGCAAGTCAATGTCAGTTCACCGATTGTAACAAATGTTCCCTGTGATGGAGGCTGTTGATTGTGTCTGGGGGGAGGTATGGGAACCTACTGTACTTTTTGCTGTGAACCTAAACCTGCTCTTAAAAAATAATCTGTTAAAAAAAAAAAAAAGCTGGATGTTTGCCAACAAACGTGACCTGGCTAAACATAGTCCTGGCCAGTGTGTGAACTCAGAGGCTTTAAAAGACCTTATCAAGCTTCTTTTCCCAGGACTTGGGCTCTATCTTGTTTTTCTTTTCTTTTTGCTGTCCTGGGAATTGAACTCAGGGCCTTATGCAAGCGAGACAAATGCTATACCACGGAGTTGCACCCCTAAGCATCTACCCTCAATGTCAACCTTTTTTAAAAATTTTGAGACAAGGTCTTGCTGAGTTGATGAGGCTGGCCTCAAATTTGCAATCCTCCTTCTTCAGCCTCCTAAGTTGCTAGGATTATGGGGTTCATCTTTTTACCCCCAAGATCTTGACACAGATGATGTCTGGAGCTCACCTATGACTGAATACCCAATGGCTGAGGGAGACATTGTCACCCCACATACCCTGGCCAGACCTTGCCCATTCTGGAGTGGCCTTCTGGCTCCTCTGCCTGTGTGAGGACTATCTGCTCCTGTTGTCATTATGTCACTGTATTGGCTGTCCCTTGTGCCTCTCTGGAGCTACTTTGTACCGCCTTGGGAGGTAGCTCTGCATAGACCACATGGCTGTGTTCTGTGATCTCTGGCCAAAGATCTGAAGAAGGGAGGACAGTGAGGGTAGGGACTTACTGCCCTGCTCCTTCCACACATGGTTGACTCGGCCCTCAAAGTATTATTATTTAGAGGCAGGGTCTCACTGAGTTGCTTAAGGTCTCCAGTCAAAATGGTCTCCTGACTTCTGATCCAGCTCTCTCAAGGTGAACTGGGGATTGAACCTAGGAGCATTCTACTACTGAGCTACATCCCCAGACAGGAGTTCATTGGCTGGCCTTGAACTTGGGACCCTCCTGCCTCAGCCCCCTGGAGGTGCAGTGATGTCAGGTGTGGGCCATCACACCAGTCAATACTCTTTGCCCTCACACTGAAGGTCGGGGACTGGCTACACTTGGTTTCTATAGTCTTAGATACTGCACTGTTCCTTGGGGTTACCTGTCCATACCTTTGTAAGTAGTCCTTTTGAATAATGTCTCCCCAAAATTCATGTCTACCCAGGAACTCAGAATGAGACCTTATTTGGAAAGAGAGTCTTTGTAGATGTAATTAGTAAAGATAAGATCGTATTGACTTAGGCTGGCCCTGAATCCAGTGATGGGTGTCCTTACAAGAAGGACATGCAGGGCCATAGGGTGGTGGAGGAAGAGACTGGGGAGATGCAGCTAAGTCAAGAGCTTCTAAGAATGTTTGGTCACCAGGAAGGTAGTGCAAGGCCCAGGATGGCTCCCCCAGGTCCCCTGGAAGGGAACCCACTTTGCTGGCACTTCATGTCAGATTTCTGGCTTCCTGAATTGTGAGAGAAATAAATTTGTTATTTTAAGCCACCCAATTTAAGATGATTTTAAACAGCAGCCTTATGCAATAAATGAAGCCTTTATCAAACTTTTTTCAATGTTCCAAGCTTGGGTGGGGACACTCCATCTGTTTCCTGAAGGGACCCTGTCTGATATTGTTCTCTAGCTTGTTTCTTCTCCCAGAGGCTTTTCATGACCCTCAGTAAGCCCCAAACCCTTACCCTGGCACGTGGGACCCCCAGTGGTAGAATTCCACTCTGCTTGGTTGGCCCTCAAAGTAAATCTATTGCTGCAGTCAAAATGGTCTCTTGAATTCTGATCTAGCTCTACATTTCCCCTGGCAACTTCTGCTTGATTCCTCCACCAGCATCTCATCCATCCCAAAGTCTGGCTCTGCCATTTTCCCCCTGGCTGGAAGCTTCTGGACTCCCTGGCTTGCAGGGGAGGGTCTTATTAACTTTTGCTGTTAACATAATCCATCCACCATGTCTGAACCATGCCGGGGTATAGACACTGGTCTCCTGTGTATCTTCTCCCTAGCTAGCTGGCATGCCCTCTGAGGGCCACACAGGAATGAGGGCATAGGGAGCCCTGGCGTATCTGTGGTATGGATACTCTTGGTGGACCATCTGGGGAAGAAGCAGAAACTTCCAGGCTCCAAAAAGAACCTGGGTCCTCAGCCCAGTGACTCAACACAGGGGCCCTTGGCACTTACAAGCCCACGCATCTGTGACATCACAGTAAGGACAGGGGCCTTTAACAACACGTACAAAGTAGATTTTCATGGACTCAAAAAGCTAGTGCAAGAGGTAGAGAAAAAGAAGCATCTTCTCTCTCATCTGTCCTCTCCGTCCCTCCCTCATATTTCAGTCCCCAACCCAGACTGTAGACAAGAATGAGTCTGACTGGCCTTCCCACTCGAGGTGTGTGTTGGAGGGCAGATGCCGGGTCATCCTCCAGCCAGAGGGGAGCAGATGTCTTGTCTCCTTCTTCTTCCTCCTCTTCCCCTTCCCCGGAAATGCCTCTGGTTCACTGATGTTCCTAGCCCCCAGCTCCCCGCAGCCCCCAGTTCCCAATCTCTTTCTCTTCCTTTTGTAGAGAAAATGAAGAGATACCCTGTTGTAGCATCTGCCTCTACGTCTCCGTTAGAGGAGAACATCCTCTGGGACGATTCTGAGTGAGTACCTCCTCGGGGTAGGGAGCCTGCCCGGGCACCTCTTTGTATCTCTGGAGTCTTGGATAGATCCGGATGTCTCCCCTTTTTAGGAAAGCCTGGCTCCCCAAAGGATCAAGATGGGAGACTGAGGGGATCCTGGGGGCTCTGACCTGTCCCTCACCAGTGATCAAGCATGGCTTTGAGCCCTGCCTCTGTGGGTGCAGCCTGAGGCCCAGGGTGGTGCTGTACCCCCGGCCTCCTCCAGCTGTGCGCCCCACCTATCAGGTGCTTCCCAGCCTGTTCTCGGGGAGGAGGCTGCCGCTCCTCCGGTGATTCTCTTGAAGTCTCAACTCTCCTACAGCCTCCCAAAGCCCAAAGCCAAGGCCAAGACCCAACTGCTCTCTTGGCGCAGTGCCACCCAACTGCATAAGCTGGTGCCCATGGGTATGTGGCCTAATGAATTCAGTGACCCACTCTTCAGATCTTTGCCAGAGGAATCCCTGAACACCTCTATGTACGTGGAAGAGAGCCATATCCCCAGCATGGGAACCATATCCCCAGTGGTATCATTTGTGGAAGGTGACAACTCCTCCCTACCACCCTTATTTAAATGAAAAATTATTTAGTAAATTACAGTCTTTCTCTTGTGTCTACTGAAAGCATGATAAGAGTCTGTTTTAACTGAGAATTTTTTGATCTCTTTATTTGACTCTCATTTGGGGTCTTCAGGGTTCTTGATTTTACGATAAGGGTTTTTACTCATGGCCACCTGTAGCCCTATATGTAGGGGAAAATGGATCTTTTTTTGACAGTGTTCAGGTTCCAGTGGGCCATGGAATCAGATCCGCTGGATATCAGTTTCTATAAACAAACTTAGTGGGTGTTGATAGGAATTCCATTGAATCTATGGATGGGTTTGGAGAATGAAAATTACTACAAAATGAATCTTCTTATTTACGAACATAGTCCAACTCCACATTTACAGTATTTGCCTCTTATCTATGGGGGATAAGTTCCAAGACTCCCAGTGGATGCCTGAAACCATGAATGGTGTTATTAAGCCTCCATATGCTATGCTTTTTTCCTATGCATACATTTCTGTGATAAATTTTAAGTCATAAACCATAATAAATTTATAAATTAGGCACAATAATATACTAACAAAAAATGACTTACAGGACAGAATTATAATGATATACTATAATAAAAGTTATGTGAACATGGTCTCTCTGTCTCTCTTCTTTCACCTATTGCAAAATATCTTGCTGTACTTTCACCTTTTCACTTGAAGTACTTTAAGCTTCTCTTTGATGTATCCAAATTGCCAGTATCACTACTCTTGCCCTTTGGGATTATTATTAAGCAAAATAAAGGATACTCCAACATAAATACTATAATACCACAATCAGACAATATGGTTACTAAATAACTAATGGGGAAGTAGTGTATACAGTGTGGATACGCTGGATAAAGGGATAATTGTCCAGCCTGGATGAAGCAGGATGGCAAGAGATCTCAGAACAGTGGGCAATTAAAAACTTGTGCATTGTTTTCCTCTCAAATTCGCCACTTGATATTTTTGGATCATGGTTGACCATGGGTAACTGAAACAACAGAAGGGGAGGGGGGGACTACTGTATTTAGGTCTTTAAATTCTCTTAATAATTTTTTGTAGTTTTGGTGTAAATATCTTGGACATTTTTTCATTAGATTTATTCCTGAGCATATCATGGGGTTTGCTGCTCTTCTAAATTGCATTTTTATAAAGAATTATTCTAAGAAGTGGTGATGGATATAAGGTGAAGAGCCTCAGAAATACATATTCTTTACCTTTTCATGAGACACCTTTTAAAACAGTCAAAATTCACATACCACACCATTCAACTACTTAAATCATACTATTCAGTGGCTTTTGGAATTTTCACATACATATATAACCATCATCACAATTTTAGAATATTTGTATCACCTCAAAAGAACCTCATCTTTTATCTGTTACCCAACTCTGGCATTTATGATGACCGGAATGTTTGTATTCCCTAAAATTCATGTTGAAATCAAAGTAATGGAATTAGGAGGTGGGGCTTTTAGGACTCAATTAGATTGTGAAGACAGAGTTCTCATGAATGAGACTACCTTCCTTATTAGAGATGGCCAGACAGCTGCCTGGCCATATCCACCATGTGAGCACACAGCAAAGAGGCACCATCTGTGGGAACCAAGGCCCTCACCAGACACTGGATCTGCTAGCACATTGATCCTGGGTGCCTCAGCCTCCAGAACTATGACCAATAAATTTCTGTTTATAAACTATCTAGTCTGTGGTATTAGGCCAGACTAAGAAGCATTGTTTTAAAAAAATATTTTCTAGCCAGACACAGTGGTAAAGGTCTGTAAGCTCAGTTACTTGGGAGTCTGAGCTAGGAGGATCTGAAGTTCAAAGCCGGCCTCAGTAACTTGGGCCCTAAGCAACTTAGCGAGACCCTGTTTCAAAACAAAAAAATAAAAAGGGCTTGGGATTTAGCTCAGTGGTAAAGAGCACCTGAGTTCAATCCCCAGTACCAGTTAAAAAAAATTTGGGGGGTAACTTTTTGTGGTATGGAGAAGTAGAATTTAGTATGTTAACCTTGTCGTATTCAGTGACTTGGCTAAATTCACCTACAGTGCTAGTCGTTTATAGATTTTTTTGAGTTTCCCATGTTCACAACTGTGTCATCCATGAATGAAAAAATATTTCTCCTTTCCCTTCTCAATCCTTAAGGCTTTTATTTTTGGCTGGGATGCCTATATTGATTAGAAGTATAGGTGGGTGGACATCTGTATCTTGTCCTGGTGAACATGGGCCTGCATTTCTGTTGGGGCCATGCCTACTTTTGGATGCCGGGTCACAGGATATGTGTGCTTCAGCTTTTGTAGACAGTAGCAAAATTTTCCAAAGTTTGTGTATGTGAAGCCTTTAAAGGCCAGGGTTGGTTAGCACTCCCCACTCCCCCAAGGCCTCTTTTCTGAAGACTGGGTAGTTCAGCTTCTCTGAAATCTTTCAGATGACTATGCCTGGCCTAAGAAACTTCATTACAGGGAAATGATGTCAGAGATTAAAGAAGGGACCATATAGATCTCAAGTCTAAGCCTTTCACAGGAAGACAATAACTAAGGCTGAGCCTAGGATTGACTGGTCCAAGGAGGTGTGGCTTTAGCCCTGCTGAGAACCCAAGTTTCTGAACTCTGGATCCCCCATATTGCTTTTTGAGTACCTGAAGAGAGGTGTTCATCTGGAAGATGATGGGATGAAACTAGATGCTGGGTGGGACCCACCAGGATTATACGTGCAGTATGAGAGTGGGGAGGGGGAGGAGGGATGGTGGCTGTCTTGCTCTCCATATTTTCCTTGAGTCTGGGTTGAAGCCAAGGAAAACACAAGCCCAGCTCCTCCTCCCACCAGGGAAGTCAAAGTGAGGGCTTTACAATTAGAGTCTGGAAAATCTTCCACCTCACATCCTCCCCTGGTCTAGGGAGGGGAGGGCTGGCTCTGCTGGCAGTAAGGACAGGCGTTCCAGGGTCTGGAAACAAGATGGACTTCCCCCTCAAGGGGCCCACAATCTTTGGTAAAACCAGACAGACCTTGGGCGTAGAGCAAAACCCATTTATTACGCCCTGAAATCCCATCCACCAGGAACCTGGCTCCAGAGCCTTGGGCCAGCCTCCAGCAGAAACAGCTCTGCCGGCGACCCAAAGCTTCAGTCTGTCTTACCTGGTGCCCCAGACCCACCCCTATTCCTGCAGCCCTTAAATTTCCACAGCATCTCAGCCCCACCTCCGCCTCGCCTGAAAGTCGATTTCCTTAAGAAGTGGTTTAAGTCAATGAACCGGAGGGGAAAGAAGACGCTTGCTATCCTCCGCCCAAAGCCCCTTGTATTACGCCCCCTTCCTCGGCCCAGAGGTCTTCACCTGGTGGCTGAGACTTAGGAACGGGATAAAATAGGGGTTGCTTTTCTTTGCAAACTCTTTTGGCACCCCCATCGACCCTCCCTAACTAGCTGCCTTCCCGCCCCAGCTCCCGCGCCGGGCTGGGGCGCCAACTAAATCTGATCAAAATGCAATTGCCAAGTCGTTAAGGTATTTGAATTTAAAAAAAAGAAAAAAAAAAAAAACTCCCGAGAAAGAAAGTATTTGATGGCTAATAATCTCATTTCAATATAATGGGACCTTCTTCTGCAGAGAGCAAGACAGGTTAAGAGATATAATTATGACTTTGCAAACTCTCTCCCAAGCGCGGGAGACGCGCTGACAGGTCTGCGCGCGGCTGCGCCGGGCTCCGCTCGCTCCAAGGGGAGACGCTTTGTCTGCAGGGCCCTTTAAAGAGACACGGTCCCTTTTTCCCCCCCTCGGCCTACATTGCAATTTAACTGTCAGCTGCGTCCTCGTCCGGGGATCAGAGTCTGAGTCCCGCTCAAGGGTGGGGGTGGGATGGGAGAGGGGCACCGGACTTGGAGGAGGGAGAGCGAGGGGCTGACCTGTCAAACGTTGCCCTAGATACTCGGAGCTAAGCTTTCAAACCTGTTCCCTTGGGAGTTCCTTAAGGTCACGTCTACAAGGGAGGGCCCGGGAGGAGCAATGATGGCGGAGTTAGGCCAAGCAGATTTATCGCCTGTCTCGAAGGTGGCGCTTTTTGAAGGATCCAAAAGGAACGAATTCCTTCTTGCCAGAATTGCTCGGTGTCATCGGGCGGAAAGGAACCCATTTAGGAAGCCGGGAATAGGTGGCGGTGGTGCTGTAGGATGTTTCTTTCCCTCTACTCTCTGGGCAAACTTTTTCTTTTACTACAATGGGAGAAAAATTCTCTTTTTGAAGTCCTGATAGGGACTCTTCCGGGAAAGAAGAATTCTCCCGGGTGTACATCCGACTTTCACGAAAGTGCAAGGAAGGTTATCTCTAAAGCGATGTGCACGTGCGTGTGCGGGGAAAGGTAGTGGAGGCAAGCTAGGGCCCTGCGCCCTTAATGAGTATTGATTGCCGTTCAGGTCTAGAGAGACCGCCGGAAAGTCAAGGCCTTGAGCTCCAGAGGTGTCTGAGACCCCTGAAGCCAACAAGCTGCGTAGGGCAGCGCGGAGAGAGCTGTGCGAGAGTGCATGTGCGTGTGAGATGTGTGAGCAATGCTCCCGGGAGAGCGCTTGACTCCCAGCGGCGCGAAATAATTGGGAGCTGGAAAGCTCAGGCAGGAACGCATGGAGACTGCACTTAAGACAGGCTATCAGATATGCCTGTCCAGCGAAAAGGAGCTGGGGAATAAAGGGGACCGAGAGCCCGCGGGGTCGGCCTCTTCGCTTGTCTCGGATTCTCACTAAGCAGATGGGAGCTTTCCTTCGGACATTTTCTCGCCGCTCTTGGTGATGTCCAGGTTTGCAATGAAGGGATTCGGAGGAAGCGGGTGCACCACTGTCCCTCCCCAACACTTCGAGCCCCGGGGCTCGGGAGCCCCCTGAATGGTAGCCTGTCAGGACTAAGGCCGTGGCGATTCCCAGGGCCTCTACGACGGGCGACACCGCCGGGCCACGCGGCGTAACGACCCCTCCTCGAGTTGGTGAGGCCATCTTGCAGGGATCCCAGGATTTCCTCCTCGCCCGGCACCCAGCTCCAGGGATCGTTCTTGGTTTCCCTACCGCGGCGCATATGCACGTGGAACCACTGGGCTCTCTAGAGTCATTCAAATAGCCTTAAAAACCACGGCGGCGCTGTCGCATCCTGCGTGGTCGCATGCGGGGATGGGCTTCTTTGAAGTCGAGTTTGGAGTGGGGTCATTGTCCCTCGCCCTTCGGCTCCCCCTGGTGGTCTCGAGTGCAGGTTTTCTCGGCCTCTGAAGATTGGGGGTAAAAGAGCACCCAGAGGGAGCAATGATTTTCCTCTGGTGGGTCCTAGTTGAACCACCCCCGTCCCATCATAAGCTACTCCTTCGGGCCCGTGGCGGCCATACTGTGCCTGGCAGGACCAGGTAGGGCCTTTCTTTGTAGTATCCCTGGCTGCTCTCGCCATACACTGCGGGTTGGGGAGAGCATGTACCTAGAAGCAGCCCCCACCCCTGATCCACTAAGCAACAGTTTGCTAAGGCAGCTTGTTGACACCCCCTGTCCATTTTTTTCCCTTGGTGTTTAATGATCTGGTCGCTGAGGTCTGACGCGCGGCCGCCGCAGGGGAGCATTGCTGACAGGAGCCGTGTGGCCTCGAGCGCGCGGGACTTTGCCGGCACTCCCGGGATGACTGGTGGGGATGGGGGCCCAAGCCAAGCGCGCTGGGGGGAGGGGGCAGCTCTGGGCCCCGAGAACCGATGGCCAGGGTCCCATCCTGGTAGGGGGCGCCGCGAATGGGGGACGAGGGCCGGGCGCGCAGCCGGCGGGGTCAGGGGCGAAGGGGCAGGCGGAGGGCAGCGCGCGGGGAGCCGGCGCGGCGGCTCGGGTTACGGCGGTCCGGCCCTCCCACCCGCAGCTCGGGCGCGGCGGCCGGGGCGGGCTTCGGCGGTCCCCCGCTGTTTGCATTTCTCTGGCAGGCGGCGGGACTTGGTTTGAAAGGAATCGCCTTCATTTGGAACGTTGTTTATTTTTCTTAACTAGCCAGCGCCGACAGACGACCCCTTAAGCACTGCTGCCGGACCCGGCCGAGCTGGCACTGGAAAGGGTCAGGACAAGGGGCAGCTTCGCTAGAGGGGCACTGAGAAGCCGGGTCCTGGGAATGCGCCCTAGTCCACCCGTGGCAGGGTTGGGGGAAGGGCAGTGGAGGGCCAGAGATCGACTTTCTTCCTAGTAGGGAAACGGACCTATTGCCGTCGTTTACCTTAGCTTTGACCTTGCACGAGGCAGATCAGTGAAGTGGTGAAGTTTTCTGGCTTTGGCGTCCGGCCGCCTTGGATTTCAGTTCCCCCTCCTCGATTTTTGGCCCTACGACTTGGGGCAAGGCACCTTTGTGACTCAGTTTCCTCCACTTTCAAAGGGATCTTAGTGCTTCGCCCTGTGGATTGCTGTAAAGATTAAATGAGATAATGCACCCTTAGCGCAGGGCCTGAAACTTACCAAAAGCTCAGGAGCTATCAGCTCTTTTTATGCGGGCTGTAAGCCACGCGAGAGTGGGTGGGGGGCAGCCAGCAAGTGTGGGGCCCAAAGGGAAGCCGCTTGAGATGGAGGCCCGTGACTCCCAACCCCTGGGATGAGGTGCGGGCTGAGGAGAGTTCTGAGCGTTTTGACATGAAATGAATAAAATGCAAATGATATTCAAAGCAAGATGCTAATGAGGTTCTATTCTTTGAGCGTCCACAGCCCCGGCAGTGCCCATAATGGTGGCGGAGCTGGTGCGAACTCAGGGATGGGCAGGGTCCAGCAGCTCAGGTCTGGGTGGTGAGTGTGTGAGTGTCGGCGCGAGCCTCCCCCGGAATGTGCGTAGCCGGCTCCGGGTGTGCTCGCGTCGACATGAAAATGAGGTCAGGGAAGGTCGTTCCACTCTGCAGCATAAATCAAGGAGGAAAGGAGAATGGATGTGAGAGACAGTCCCTGGGGACCTCCCCGTGAGAGGCAGAGCGAGAGAAGAGGGAGGGAAGAAAAGTTCTGCGTGGAATGGACGAGAAGCGGCCCTGCGCACTTCCCCCCTGAGCTTTCGGCCCAGGCGGTCCAGTAACAGTGCCCCATCTAAGACCCGACCGTGCCCTTGGCCCCACCCTCCTCCCGCAGCTTCCCAAACACGTTTCCTCTTCTTTTTTGGTCCCCAATTTAAATGGTCCTTATCTGAGCGCCCTTTGTGTGAACAGTGAAGCTCCTGCACCCAGCCTTCCCGGGAACGTGTAAGTGCCCACGCGCAGACGCCACAAGCACACGTAACTGCACATGTTATACGCGGGCACACACTGGGGCTAGCGGCGTTGGGGGGGCGCCCTGCAGGGATAGCAGTGCCGGCGAATCCGACGCTGGCACGTCCTTTTCCTAAGCAACCCGCCTTCCCAGTCTCCCTAACACCAGCTATGGTGGTTCCCGGGGTCTCTCGGGGCCTCTCCTGCTCTTCGCTTTCCGCGGGCCACCGGGGAAACGCGGTGCTCCGCACTAGTCCCTACCTGCGCGCTGTCCTGAGACTCCATCAGGGATCTCTAGACTCTCAGGCAGCCCTAGGGAGGAAACAGAGGCACAAATCCAGGACCACCCAGCTCCCTGGGGAAGAGGTACCAGAATGAGTCAGCCCCAGAGTGGGGGAGGGAGAGGGATCTCATCCCCCACGCTCCTGCATCTTGGACACACCAGGCCCAGAAAGGAAAAAGGAGCGGAACAAAGGGGCTGTAACCCTTTCTGGGGGGAAATCCCCGTGGCACTTTGACGTGCTCTTCTCCCAGCTGGCGTGGGGTACCTGCTGTTCCAAGAATGGGAAAGAGAGTTGTGAAGAGAGCCCCGCCTAGGGTTTGTGCCTAGGCCTGGATCAGATTCATTCTCACCTTATTCTCCGTATGACAATGCATAACATGATGCCTAAAACCTGTATAGTAGACACAAAATAGGCACCCGAGAGCACATACTGAGTTAAATTTACAGGGAGCTGTCATCACCAGGATCCTTCAGGAGTCTCCACATTTTGTAAAAGAATTCATTAAGTCATACTTTCATTCAGCAAGCAGTAAATTCCTACCAAGTGTCAGAGCAACAGGAAGATAAAATCCTGGCCCTCAGAGCACTTCCATTCTCCCGAGACAGAAAGATCATAAATAGATAAACACAGAAACATAGAATATGGTGACAAGGAGGGCAGTGGAAGAAAGAAAACGCCAGATCAGGGAGAGCCTGAGGGGAGGAGGCAGAGACCAGAATGAAGTGAGGGGCATGAACTTCTGGAGGGACAGGGTCCCAGGCAGAGGAGGCTGCAAACTGCAAATACAGTGGCAGATGTAGAAAGAGCCTGACATTGATCTTTGACCCTAAGGAGAGAGAATGGAGGTGAAAGCGAGGTCAGTGGAGATTCAGGGGGATCAGATTATGTGAGGTTTTGTAGGCTATGTTGGGAGACCTTCAATTACATAGTAGGGATGTTGGGAAGCCGTTGGAGTATTTTAAAAAGGGAATGAGGCAATCTGATTTATGTTTGTAAAAATGAAAAACAGGGCTGGAGATGTAGCTCAGTGGTAGAGCCTTTGTTTAACATGCACACCGCCCTGGGTTGGATATCGAGTACTACAAAGTGAGTGAGTGAATGAATGAATAAAATTTTGAAAGACAGGGGAGTTAACTGGTTCGTGTTTTGCAGGTTCTTGGGTTTCTTAATTCAGATCTCAATCCAGTCCAATGTATTGAACAAGAATGCTTAGGCCAGGAGATGTCTTGAATAATACTCTACCTCTCTTGCACCCATACTTTTGGGGAAGGTATCGTGGATGGGGCAGTTGGTATGGTCTCCATAGCGGCCAGCTTTGGAATGCGGGCTGTTGGAAGGCATTCTGGGAGCCCCAGCGTGAGGATCTCTGGTGTTTCCACTCCTTGATTTGACTCCCTCCCACCTGTTGTCTTTGCTTGGCTTACCCTGGCCCGGTTCCTGGCTGTACAACAAGAGTGGGCTACGCTGGCATAAGAAGGCAAGACTCAGTCTCTCTCCGACGCATCAATTCAGCAGCTCACTAGGCTCAGAATGCTGGTTTTCCCCAGAGAGAATCTGATTGTGCGCAAAGCCAGCACCGTGGTCCCATACCGTCTCCTAGTGGCCATGAGGGATACTGCAGCCGGAGTCCGTACCAGATGCAGAACTGAGCCGGGGACAGCAGGGGGCGCAGGAACATGCTTATTGATTACTCACCAGGTGCCAGGTGTTGGGCAAGGTGCTTCACTCACTTTATTTAACCATCACAGTAACCCTAGGATATTCAGACTTCCGGAGCAGCCTGATCCCCGACAGTGAAAAGCAAGGGGCTTTGAGTGGGGGAGCTTTTGTAATCTCAGATCTCAGGAAAGGAAGGAAGGAAGGTAGGCAGGGAGGGAGGGACCACCCTGAGCTCACCACCCTGCTCTTTCCCCACCTTTAATCTCAACGTCTGGAGACCTTAAGATTGGCACTGGGACTCCCTCTTTATGAGGCGCTGGGGACGCGCAAGTTGGTTTTGCACCTGCAGCAGCCCATCTGGGCCCTTCCCTTTGCTTGGCGGAAATGCTGTCAGCGCCAGAGAATAGGGAACCATTCTTCGTCCTCTGCTTCCCCCTAGTGGGTCAGGTTAGCACGGCAGCCGCCCGTCTCCTTCCAAGCCGGCTGCAGTCACTTCCAGTCTTCTCACCTTTACCCCTGAAGGCAGGCTCCTCCCCAGGGGCAATACGGGTGTTCTGGAAGAGAGATGTGAAAGTTTTGGAAAATCTGGCTGTAGAAAATCTCAGAGCTTGGTTCAGGATCATTACCTCCAGCAAGAATTTAATAAGAACCTATCAAGCTCTCCTCCCCGAGAGGAGTCAAGAGACACCCCATCCCCAAATCGTCCACTCCCGCTGTCAGAGCAATGGACTTCTAAAATTTAATTAAATTATTTATTTGGGGCTCGATTTGTTTATTTATTGGGATTAGGATTGAACCCAGGGAAGCTTTACCACTGAGCTACATCTCTAGCACTTGTGATGCTCCTGAGTTGCTGAACTCATATTTTAATAGCAGAGGTGACACCCACAAAATGACTGCTCCTGATTGTTCACATTCATGTCAGAAATAAAAACTTATGTCCACAAAAAAAACTGTGAATCAGTGCTCAGAACAACTTTATTTGTAAAAGCCAAACCCAAACCCAAACCAAAATAAAACTGGAAACACTCCAGATATCCCCGTTTCGTTCTTTTAACTTTTAAATAATTATAGATTCATAGGAAGTTCAAAGATAGTGCATGGAGGTCCCTGGTCCATGAATGAGTTCTTAAAAAAGAAAACTTTTGGTACTGGGGATTGAACCCAGAGGTGCTTAAACACTGAGTCACATCCAGCCCTATTTTTTTTTTTTTTGTATTTTATTTAGAAACAATGTCTTCCTGAGTTGGTTAGGGTTTTACTAAATTGCTGAGGCTGGCTTTGAACTCAAGATCCTCCTGCCTCAGCCTCCTGAGCTGCTGGGATTACAGGCGTTCGCCACTGTAATCAAGGTACTTGACTACTTCATCACCACAAAGATCTCCCTCCTGCTGCCCCTTTGTAGCCACACCCTTCCTCCCTCTCCCAGCCGTCTTAGCCCATGCCAACCACCAATGTGCTTCCCTTCTGTAAGTTTGCCAGTATAAGGATGTTATATAATGGAATGGTCTAGTATGTGATCTTCTCGTAATGTCTTTTTCATGCAGCATGGATTCCTTAAGATCCATCCAGGTTACTGCATGCATCAACCATTCACTCCCTTCCATCACTGAGAGGTAGTCTATGGCTTCTTTAGCCTGTCATTTGTTGAGGAACTTCTGGGCTGTTTCTGTTTTGTGGCATGGTAGGCATCTGTGTGTGGGCTTTCGTGTGAACATGAGCATGATCAGATGTTGATAAAGCAAGTGAAAAGTTAAGGGTGGGACCCAACAGGGCTTCAGTGAGACCTGTTGAACTTGGGGGGCAAATGAGAGGTAGGAAGAAGTGTGTAATTGAATGTCCATGAACCCGTGAGGACACAGCTCACAGAAGATTAAAGCCCCAGGGAAGACAGTGAAGTGAGGCTGTCTGGAGCCTTGGCCAGGACAGCACACACACACACACACACACACTCTTCTGTTGCTTCGTGGGGCAAGTCTGCTGCGACCATTGACGTCTGCATTTCCTATTTGCTGCAGCAGTCATTAAAAAGCATTTGTTTTTGAGCCAGGCACAATGGCACACGCCTGTAATCCCAGTGACCTGGGAGGCTGAGGAAGGAGGATTAAAAATTTGAGGCCAACCTTGGCAATTTAGTAAGACCTTGTCTCAAAAAATAAAAACAACTGGGGATGTAGCTTAGTGGTAGAGTGTTCCTGGGTTCAATCCTCCATTGAACCCAGGGGTGCTTTACCACTGAGCTGCACCCCCAGCCCTTTTTATTTTTTTATTCTCCTTAGGTTCTCCCTAAGTTGCTGAGGCTGGCCTTGAACTTGTGATCCTCCTCCCTCAGCCTCCTGAGTTACAGATGTGCACAGGGCTTGGTTCTTTATCACTTTTTTTTTTAAAAAAACTGGTATTAGTCAGCTACTGTGATAAAATACCTGAGTAATTGACTTGAAAGAAGTAAGATTTATTTTGGCTCTTGGTTTCAGAAGTTTCAATCTATGGTCCCTTGGCTCTATTGCTTTGGGCCTATGACAGCATAGTAACTATGGAGGAAGCATATGGCTGGGAGGCCTCATAGCGGGGAAGGAAGGAAAGGGGTCCAGAGTCCCAGTGTCTCCTTCAAGCGTTCGCCCCAGCTGACCTAACTTCCTTCAATAGGCCCTATCTCCTAAGGGATCCACCACCTCACACAGCACCACAAGCCAAACCTTCAACACATAAACCTTTGGGGTATATTTTAAACTCAAACTAGCATAACCTAAAGGCATTTTATTGGAAAAAATACTCAAACAATGTAGCAGAATACAGGAAGAAATAGGAAAGATACTCTTCCCACCTCCTGTCTCACCCCAGCCACACACCCTTCCAGATCTTACCTCTGGTACTCGATGTTACTTCTGGTAGCATCTAGTTTTTAATTTTGGGGGCTCTTTTCATTTTATTACATGAGGGAGTTACACTAGTACAAGTTAAAATAGGACCTCAAATGGTTACTTCACATAAGCTGTGAGGTTTTTGAACTCGTGGCAAGAGACAGAGGGAAATTCTACTCATTGCAAAGTTCAGTTTCAGTGAGCCACTGCACTGAACACCCATGAGGCCAGGCATGGTGGTGCACCCCTGTAATCCTAGAAGCTCAGGAGGCTGAGGCAGGAGGATTTAAAGTTCAAAGACAGCCTCATCAATATAGCAGGCCCTAAGTAACTCAGTGAGACCCTGTCTCTAAATAAAATACAAAAAAGGGCTGGAGGTGTGGCTGAGTGGTTGGATCCCTAAATTCCTGGATTCACTCCCCAGTACAAAAAAACAACAACAGCAACAACAACAAAACCCCCCCCCCCAAAACCCACGATCCTTCCCCTGCTGGCCTTTAGCCAGTCCAGTCTCTAGCAGGAACTGGCCTGTGTTCTTGGGCTGGTCATCCTCCAGCTGAATTACTTCTCCATACTTTGGAAGTTCGATTATGGTACACTTGCAGGCATATTTCTTCTTTTCCTTACTAAAAAAATTTTTAATTGTAGATGGACACAATTCCTTTATTTGCTTATTTATTTTTATGCAGTTCTGAGGATAGGACCCAGTGCCTCACATGTGCTAGGCAAGTGCTCCACTCCTGAGCTACAGCCCCAGCCCAGCAAATTCCTTCTTAAACACCTTCCCCAGCTTCAGCGATCCCTTGGACAGTAGTAAAGGTCTCTCTGCCATTTCTCTGTTGAATTATTATGTGAATATAGTCCTCACAGCCAGGAGGAAGCAGGTCATCACCCTTGCTTGCATCAGCAGAGGAGTTGAAAGAGCGGAGGTTCTGGATAGCCGGGATAGGGACATACTATACAATCCTTTTTCCTCCGCTTACTGAAGGCCATGGCATTGGGGGTGGGGGGACAGAGCTTTGTGGAGCCAGAGGGTTAAAGCGAGAGGCTCCAGAGCTCAGTGAGTTGGCCTCTGGCAGCATCTTGAGATGATTCTTGCACGTACTCTTCCCTGTTTACACACACACACAACACACACACACACAGTGTGTCTATATAGTCTGATACAATTGAGGTGTTACAATATGTGTCATGTAGCAGCTTGATTTTTTTTTTTTTTTGGTACCAGGGATTTCTGAACCCAGGCCCAGGGGCACTTAACCAACCACTGAGCCACATCCTCAGCCATTTTTTGTATTTTATTTAGAGACAGGGTCTTGCTGAGTTGCTTAGGGCCTCACTAAGTTGCTGAGGCTGGCTTTGAACTCATGATCCTCCTGCCTCAGCCTCCCAATTGGTGGGATTACAGGCATGCACCACTGCGCCTGGCTGCAGCTTGATTTTTTGGACTAAATAGGCTTTGGTGGTCTGGTAAGTGCAGGCAGGTCTGTGTCCTTCTTCTCCAGCCCTGCCCTAGAGAGGGGGCATCATTTATTTAGTTCCTCTCCTATTCATGGCTATTTGATTTGTTTCTAAGGTTCACTATGATATAAAATGTTGCAACAAATAACCTTTTAAATATGCTTCTTTGTGGGCACATGATTTATTCTCTCACATAGGCCCTGGAAATGGAATTGTCGGCAGGAAGTGGATATGCATCTAATATTTTGAGAAATCTTGACAAATTGATTCCTTAAAGGACGCACTAACTTATATTGCTACCAATCGCTTTTGAGACTGCCAATATTCTCATAACCTCATCACCATTGGGAATCACCAACCTTTTAACTTTTTGTTAATTTAATGGGTGCAAAATGACCCTCTTATGGTTGGTTTTAATTTGCATTTTCCCATTTACTAATGCAATTGATCTTGTCTTCTCTGTATTAATTTTCCGTGGGTGTTTCTCTGGATGGCAGTGTCTGCCTTTTCTGTTTCCTCTACTGAGCTATTCCCTTTTACTTATTGATTTCACAAATTCTTCTTACATTCTGAATAGTAATCTCTGTATGACTCAGATATTGTTTTTTTCTGACCTGTCACATTTTTCAAAATATTGTCTATAGTGTGTTTTATCATTCACATATAATTTCAAAAAAATTTTTAGTTGTTGTTAGACCTTTATTTTATTTATTTATTTATATGCTGTGCTGAGAATTGAACCCAGTGCCTCACACATGCCAGGCAAGTGTGCTACCTCTGAGCCACAACCCCAGCCCCCAGATGGATCATTTTATAAGCATTCAATACTAGTTCTCATAGCAATTCTTAAACTTGTAAGAATTACCTTTTTTTTTTACCGCTAAGCCCTAGCCCCAGCCCCAGCCCCATATAAATTATCTTTTAGGTAGAAAAATCTATTGTTCTTTCTGGGCTCCCTATGGGGAAGCTGCTTGTATAGAGGGGTCAGTCCTTCCCTGGGATCAGCAAGTGACATTTCTCTCAGGTGCATGTGGAGGCCCATTTCCTCAGGGAGGGAGCTCATCTGGGGACACCTGGGAAGGATTCTGAAAATACCAAGCTGCATGGATACTGTTTTCCACTTCTTGAGGCCCAGCTAGGGAGGAGAAATGGAGCGAGGCCCAGGGATCCAGTCCTCGGTCACATATCGGTAGACCTATCAGGCCCTGTGCTGGGTCTGGTGACTGGCAGGTCACAGTGATTTGCTGATATCTGCTCTTGCCAGCTCCTGGGTGTGCATCGGCCTGCTCACAGAGACCTTTCCCTCCATTCCCCGGGACCCAGGCTCAGGTTCTTTTCCTAGGGACATGGCATTCAAGGACTCAGATCCGCGGGCTCTGCAGGGCTGTGGCAGAGGGGAAGCAGCCCCTCTGTACCCACAGCCAGAATCCCAGAATCTGCGTCCTGCTGGCCCTCAGGCAGCTGAACCCTCTCCCCACCTCTGCTTCTCTCTCTTGCCTTCTGTATGGTCCTGTCCAGCGCTTCATCTGGAGTCAAGGACACACGCCGGCCAGGTGGAGGGGGAGGAAGGGCTCCCCCCAACCAGTCTACCCCTTCCTGAGACCTTGGGTTAAGGTCAAGGTTGCTGAGGAGATTTGTGGTCCCTACTCATCAGGTCTCTCCCAGCACCTCTGAGAAGGGAGAATTGAGAAGGATGAAGGCATTTGAGAAAGTGGAGGCCTGGAAAGATGGTCTCTCTGGAGATAGGTCTGGGGGAAGCTGGAGCCGGGAGACCTCCTCCCGGCAGGTGCAGGGAACATCTCTGGGCCTCAAGAAGCCTCAGAGCTGCCTGTCCTTGACAGCTGCAGGGAACTCTGAGGTCCCTTGTCACACCCTAGTCCAGCCTCCTAGAAGGGAAGGAAACTGTGGTCAATATAAATGAGGCTCCACACTTTCTTTTTTCTCCCGTATCCATTTCCTGAGCCCTGGTTTTATCCATCTTCTCTAGAAGGAAGGCCTGAAGACAACTGACCTTGACCACGGTCCTAAATACCAGTGGACTCCACAGGCCTCATGCTCAGACATAGCATGGGTTGGGAGTGTGTCTCCATCCTGTGAAGTTTTGTGAGTTCAAGTTGGGAGAAGAGGAAGGGGAGAGGAGAGGGGAGGGGAAGGGAGAGAGGAGACCAAGGTTGGCTTCCACGAGGTGGTTCAGGGGCAGCACTGGACATCATCCTATAACTGTGGGAACACCCTGGGCATGTTGGGCATGCAGCTCAGGGCCAGAGGGTGGGGTGGGAACTGCAGTCCTACTGGGTGCTGGCTGGGAAGTGGTGTGTTTTTATAGTCAGCCAGCAGGCTCAGAAGGGTGTCTATTTGTCATTTCTGCACAGGGTCAGGTCATTGATCTCATTTCCAAGAGGAGCAGGAGGTGCCTGCAGCAGCCTCGTGTCACCTGAGCTCAGGGTCCGGGTGCTTCTGTATTTTTTAAAATATATTTTTAGATGTTGACAGACCTTTATTTTATTCATTTATTTATATGTGGTGCTGAGAATCGAACCCAGTGCCTCACACACGCCAGGCAAGTACGCTACCGCTGAGCCCCAACCCCAGCCCTGCTTCTGTATTTTTAACTCACTGTATTTGATTTTTTCAAAGCCATAGACAGAGGTTTATTTAGGCAAGTAGATATTCAAGGGAGCATGGGTGGGAGGGATGCCTTTGGGGTGAAGCAGGGGGTACATATTTGAGGGCAAATGTGAGCCATCTCCAGAGGAGAGACTGCCTAGCTCACTGTATTTTTTACGTAGAAGTATTTTAAAATAAATTACAGATGTCCTGACATTTCGCCCTTAAATAATTCATCATGCATCTCTCTTAAAAAAGCATCTCTCTACATAGCAAATTAATATCACAGCCAATGCAATTAAAAATGATTTCTTAATAGCCTTACCACCCGCTGCATACTCCCTTTTCCCCAAGACGTTCAGCTCTTGAGCCATGGACAGAAACTCTGGTCTGCCTGAGGCCCCAGCTGACCCAGACTTCCTTGCCCTGGACGAGGAGTGGAGCCTGGTCCCCAGAGGAACCCAGGAAGAAAGTGAGAACTGGAGGAGGAGGGGAGGACACCGCGGTTTCTGAGGGAAAGGCCCAGGTAACCATCCCTGGATGCCCAGAGGCTACCTGAACCTCAAGGATGAGTGGCGAGAGGATGGGGGACTGTGTACCCTTCCTGGGACTGTGCGCCCTCTCTGTTGAACTCACATGAGGCCGTGGCATCCTGACTTAAAGTGACCCGTCCTTGCTGGGCTCCTTCCTCTGCTGTCTGGTGCCTCCTCCAGTCCCACCTCTTTTCTAACTTTGTTCTCCTCTCATTGTCCCCTTCCATCAGTTGGTGCTGGAACCTTCCACAGAGGCCCCTCCACCTGCTGACTCGCTGCCACGGGCTGGCTCCGTGGGTTTCTCTGGGTCCGTGGTATATGCTGTCCCTGGTGCTGGAGTCTGGATGTGATTTGTCCTCCACGGTTCACGTGTTGGAAACTTGGTCCTCAGTGTGGTGTTGCGGGGTAGAACCTTGAAGAGGTGGGCCAGTTTGGAAGGTGGTGAGGTCATTAGGAGAGCCGCTCCTTGGAAGGAGTTCATGCAGGTCTTGTGGAGTCAGTTCTTGTGAAAATGAGTTATTATAAAAAGGGTTGAGACTGGCCTCTTCCTGGTCTCTCTGGCTTCCTGTCTCACCATGTGATCTCTCTTTCTCACACGTGCCATCCACCATATTGTTATGCAGTCAAGGGGGCCCTTTCCAGAGGATGAGATAACGGAGTTGCACCATCTTGGAATTATCGCCTCCCAAACTCTTTTCTTCATAAGTACCCAGCTTCACGTAGTTTGTTATGGCAACAGAAAATGAACTAATATACCTGGTAACTCCAAGGAGGGCACAGGAAAGCATTCATTTCGGGCTCATTGACAGCTTCATAGGAAGGGGCTTCAGAATCATCTCCATCCCCTTCATTTTCTGAAGAAAAATAATGGAGTTTCAGAGAGGGACAGTGACCTGCCCAAGTTCACACAGGGCTGAGTTGAGGAAACAAATCCAGGTCTAGGTTTCACACAGCACTCCAGACAAAGGCCCTTTGATTAGCTGGAGGGCGTGTGCTTCACAAATTTTTACTTCAAACACTAGGGCATCTAGGAAGTTTAAAGGCACTGATTACCCGTTAGTGTCTCAGCAGAAGCCCAAGGTACAGAAGGGAGTTTATCTTGAAGAGATTTGTGTGGCTTCATCTAAGGATGGAATCACAAGGAGATTCACAGGAGACCCACACAGAGGAGGTGGAGATTCCATTCTAGGAAGGAAGTGTAGGGAGGGTCCTTGGCAAACATGGGGGAGCTGGGAGACAGTGCTGAGCAGGGATTCTCGGAGGGACCAGCACTCTGAGAATTTCTCTTGACTAGACGTTGACAGGCTTTCTTTTGCAAAGGGCCAGAGAGGAAATATTTTCGGTTTTGGGGGCTT